ATTTGTCTTTTAAGTATCTTTCTCTTATTCTTTTTAGAACACAATGCTCACGAACAAGTTCCTTTCTCTCTTTCACCGTTTCCTTCTTCCGTTTCCCTTTTCCTGCCAACAGCTTTTAATCCTGCACATTCTCGAGAACGTTCTCTTCTCTTCTCTTCTTTTTCTCTGTTAATGATTACCTCGGTGATGTAATGATACTTCGCAGATATAATGATTCTGTGGTTAATCTCTGTTCTTATTCTACTTCTACTTCTACTTTTATTCTTTCCTTTTCTTCTTTTATTCCTTCCTTTTTTATGAATCTGCTATGAGTGTCGAGTAATCTTTCGAGGTAGATGAGAAAATTTTCGTTTTTGGTTAAAAGTAATGGCAATCCTTGACAATCTTTTCAATGGTTTGCAATGTTATTCTATTTGTTAATAAAAATATTTATTTAAATGTTAAAAGATATGAGACATTTTGTTCGTAAAATAAAAAGAAATTCTTTTCTTAATTTATAAAAAAAATAATAATTTTTATTTGATATATATATTTAAATATTGATAAATAATAAATATGATATATAATATTTAACACGTTCCATGCCAAGCCCTTTCTAGTTGACTTGTCATTCAAGCCATTTAATTTTACTTTAACAAAATCAACCATTACATCTAATTATTAACTTTTTGCACTCGAGCAGCACCGAATTAGCGCCCAACAGATTTACATAAATGGTACCTCGGATGGCGCTGATACGGCGCCCGGCTGATTTAAAATCTTTTGTTACTCTATCTGCTTATAATTCAGCACATTAAATAAATATATTTTATGGTAAGTTTACCACCGGTGATACACGTGGCCTGAAGAACAAGTTTAACGTGTACCACCGGTGGTACACGGTGACACTGAACGTGTAAAATAATTTTATCAAAGTTAGAAATCAACAAATTTCTCATTTAAATATTTCGAATTATTTTTTCGTATTTCGTAATAAATTAAAAAAAAAAAAAAAAATTTAGAGAGATAGAATTTAAATTTGATTTTAATTACAATATAAAATGTCGTAAGAAGAAAATGTACTAATTTTGTGTTTAAGAAATGTGTGAAACCCCGACAATTTGCTAAACAACATTTCTATATTTAACGTTTTACAAACGTTGATTCATTCCGACAAAAAGCTCGATAAGAAAGCTTCTCTCTCTCTCTCTCTCTCTCTCTCTCTCTCTCTCTCTTACTCTTTGTGAAATGATGTCTTTTTCTATCAGTAAAAAGCGACGAAAGCGAAGGAATAATGGACGTAGCTTTTTCGTGAAGCCAAAAGCATGCTCAAATACATGCTCACTCTCTCTCTCTCTCTATCTCTATCTCTTTCTGTTCGTTTTTCATTCTACTTATCCATCTCTCTCTCTCTCTCTGTTCGTTTTTCATTCTACATATCAATCTCTCACTTTATCTCGTAAGGATTCAGCAAACCGTGCGATATTGTTACGCGATTCAAAAGCATAAGTTTAATCGCGTGGAAGAAGACATGCCGAATTTACGGTTTCGATTTAAGCTCAAGAAGTTGCAAGCGACAAGAAATTTAAAAAAAAAAAAGAAAAGAAAGAAAACATATTAAGAATATCATAGGAATATTTCTTAAACGTGTTATCAAACGTGTTATAGGGAAAAAAATAGTTCAAATTTCATCTTACAAATAAAAATTCACCTCAGTTTGTATCTTCATCGAAGTTTTCCCGACAGTTTTTTGTTATTCGAAGCTTCTTCTTCTTCTTCTTCTTCTTCTTATTATTATTACTTTTTTTGGTGGTATTGGTTTGATTTTCTTTCTTTAAAATATTCACGTTTAAATCGTATTTTGCAAATTTGTCGAAGTGGAATCGCCGTTCGTTTTTTTTTCCTTTTTTTTTTTTTTTTTTTAATGGCGGATGGAAAAAATGAAACGGATAGGAAAAGAAAGTTTGGAATGAAAGAAAAGAAAGGAAAAAAATACCACGAGGAATCGCAAGCACTGCGAAATTCCAAAGCTGCCACTCGATTTCCCGAGAGCTTTCGCTTTCAAACTTTATTTCTCTCTCTCTCTCTCTCTCTCTCTCTCTTTTCTTTTCTTTTTCTCTCGACAAAATTTCCGAGCTTTTCCTTCCGCAGGAAGGATGAATATAATTCATCCTCGAGCTGGCAAAATAATAACCGTCAGAAAGAGAAAGATAAAACTAGAGAGAGAGAGAGAGAGAGAGAGAGAGAGAAAGAGAAAGAAATTAATCACGATCTTTGTTTTCGCGAAGCTTTAAGCAAAGCTTTTCCCGAGGGTGGATCGAAAACTCGACGGTCGTAAATAGTACGCTAGAAATTCCTTTTGATAAATCGATTAGCAAACTTCTTATTTCTCTTCTCTTATCTTTTTTTATTATTACATTATTTATCTTTTGTTCCTTATCTTATCTTTTATCAACTTTCATCATTATATTTCTAATACCAATATTGATTGATTAATATTAAATATTATCTTACGTTAACAAAATTAGTTGCAATATTTGTATTGAATTTATTACAATTTCACTTATTACAACTTAATTTATTACAAACGAAAAAAATTAGTTTGTTTAACTAAAAATTATATTATTATCAACACACATATAGATAAAATTAAATTGATTGATAATATCAAATATTATTTTATGTTAAACAAATAGTCTCGTAGTATTTTGATTTAATATAAAATTTATTTCAACGAGACACATTTAATTTTTCTCAAACTAAAAGAATTGTATTTTTAAAAATATCATTGATAATTAATAAAATATTATCATATGTTTAAAAAATATTTCGTTATTTTGATTAAATACGTAATTTATTGCAATGGAACAAACTTTAAATCAACCGGGCGCCGTATCAGCGCCTTTCGAGTTGCCACTTAAATATATCATTGAGATTAAATAAAATAATAAAAATAAATATTATATTTAATTATACGAGTAAAATGGATAAATCAAAGAAACGTTTTTGATAATTTCAATTAAAATGAATAATTTGTTCAATTTTGTTCTTTTTTTTTTTATTTTAGGATTAAAAACGATTAGAGTTATGGGATTGGTAGGAAAAGTTTTTAATTACGTAACTCGTTTATTTTGTTAGATTTTGATTTTGTTAGTTACGCGAGCACACAAATTCGTAAAGTAAAAAGTTCGGATAAAAGATGGCGACCATGGGGGTTGGAGTAAGCTCGAATAGCTTTACGCGATGCCATTCAATGATAAAAAACGGTAATCAGACTAATGGTCGACTGTTATCTCTTGCTACCGATTATCTTCCTCTTAACCGAACGAACCGACAAATACCAGAAGAGAAAGAGGAAGACAAGAGGTAGACATAAAGAGAGATAAAATAATTTCTTTTTTTTTTTTTTTTTTGGTTTACATTTAAAATATTTTTTATCATCCCTACATCCTTACATTTCATCTCGATAATTTATTATAAAACAAATAGACAGTTTTTAATTATCCATCGATTTTTGTTAACGATGCCTTCTGTGAATATTTCTTTTCTTTTTTTTTTCAGTAAATTAAATTGTCGCTTGTATTAGTCATAAAACAAATACAACTACGTAATCCAATTATTTTGCCTTTTTGATCGATATGTTCGTTACGTCAGAGAATGAAATTATATTTATTAGATTATTATATATGAATGTTTGTTTTGCAAATAAAAATACAAAATGAAAGTTTATTTTATACGTACATTCTGTTTGTAATATTTAAAATCAATTTAACGTAGGTATACATTGAATATTGGGTGTATATTAGGCATAATATTATATGAGATGAAAGTTAATTAAAAAAAATAAATAAATAAATCGTATTCAATTACCATAAGTTATATTACTTCCATAAAAACAACGAAGTTTATGTTTTTGATTAATTTAAATCATAACGAAAAAGTTGTTTGATTAATGGTTCTTATTCAATGCTTTTCTGAGGTAACACGTGAGCATTGAATTTCATTGATCAATGGTAATAATTGTTTCCATGTTTTGTAAAATTTTTTATAATGATTTATTGAATCTTTAAATTTAATTAAAAAAAAAAAAATTGATGAAAAGAAAATTAATATAAACAGTAGATCGTATTTGATGAATTGTTAGAAACTTGCATTTTTATAAATAAATATTTAATATTATCTGTTTTAATATTATTTTTACATAATATTATAAATAATATTTTATTTCTTTATAAATTATAATTAATTAAATATTATATAATTTTAAATATTATTAAATTTTATTTTAATAACTCCAAAGCAACCCTCAAATTTTATTTTAATAATATTTAAAATTATATAATATTTAAATAAATATAATATATTATTATAATAAAATTAATAGTATTAATTTTAATAATTATTAAAATTATATTTATTATTAAATAAAATTAATAATATTATAAATATTATTATATGTATTATTATTTATATTTTAAAATAATATTATTATATATATTTAATATTATTTTTTTTTTCAATATTTAAGTAAAAACACTAATATGAATTTGATATATATAACACAAGAAACATTATTCTCTTAGAAATAATAATTTTACCAAACCCCTAACTTTTTTCTTTTCGATAAAACTCAATCGAGATCTCTTTTATGCATCACCAACTAAAAAAAAGAAATAATAAAACATAAAAAACAAGCTGACAGATTGAGTTGGCAATTTTGTCGATAAACTTGATTATATTCCAAAAAAAAAAGAAAAAGAAATTCATCTGCGGAAAAAATTCACGATAATAGATAAAGAAGACAAGCAAGCAGGCAAGTAAGCAGATATTTGACGTTGATCGATTATTAGTGTAATAATAATAATAATAATAATAAAAATAACAGTACACAGCAAAATAATTTAAAAAAGAAATCAAACGTTAGATATTGTTATCGATGATAGGATGAAATCATAGTTGTCTGATCGTTTATTGGATCCTATTGGTCGTTAACGAGCATGTTTGTACTTTTGGTGTTACAGGCGGTGCCGAGGGCAAAGATGCAAGAGTTTCGATCCAATTACCCTGAAGGAGCCTACTCGAAACTTTAGACGTCCTTGGGTTTGCAATCGCTATCAGCAGCACACAAGCAGCTTCTGGTAAACTATGAATGACTTACTATATCTATATATATGTTATCTCTTTTACATTTCTACAACATTATGAGAAAATGCCAATTATACGTGAATACTATAGTACCTTCAACGAGATTCATGAAAAAACTTCTTCGTTATATGTTCTCTCTCTTTCTATCTTTCTTTTTCTTCTTCTCTTTTTCTTTTTTATCTCTTTCTATCAGTTTCTTACACTTTTTGGCTCACTACTCTTATCTCTCTCTCTCTCTCTCTCTCTCTCTCTCTCTCTCTCTATCTCTTTTCTACTTCTTCTTGAAACCCTTCGAATTAGATTTCCCGATTCAAGATATCTTTCGACTATTCGACAAAGAATTCTTCTTCCTTATTTTCCACCGATTTTATCAACCGTTTTAACTCCTTCTAACGGTTCTTAACTTTCTTTTTCTTTCTTTTTTATAGATTTATCTCTTAACGTTTTTCTTTCTACTTTTTTTTTTCTCTTTTTAACACTTTGGAGTAGGATTACTTATATTTGAGTAATACGTGTTCTCGTATTAAAGAATCTAATGATGAGAAAATACGTAATTGAGATTTTTATAATATATATTTTTTAATGAATTTGTTTAATTATCTTAGGGTAGTATGATTAATAATAATTTAATTTAATTTTGTAATTATTTAAATATATATATAATTATATATAATATAATTGATAATATTTTAATTTATTATTTAATTATTTAAATGTAGTTTGATTGGTAATAATTTAATTTAATTTTTTAGTTATTTAAATATAGTATTATTAATAATAATTTAAGTTATTTTTTAATTATTTAAATATAGATTTTTATAAGATATATATATATATATATATATATATATATATATCTGATGTTAGGAATAAATAATCAACAAATATAAGTTGCAAAATTTTTGACACTTGCATTTACAAAAAATAAACATTTTAATTTGCAATACCATAATTAATTATATTCTATACAATTTTTTTATGAATTAATATTTTTTATTATCAAAATTTGTATTTTTTAGCATGAAAATATTGTTCTTTTTCTTTTTTACATTCCATTGAAATTTTCACACCGTTTCACACCGTTAAATCTTCATAATCTAAATGTCTCAAAATTTTCTATGCCTCTTTTTCAAATCTCAAAATTGAACAAAAATATTCAACAGAGTTGTATCAACTAAAGTTAAACAATTTTATTCGAATTGTTATATTTAAAAGTTGAATAAAATCATTGTAAAAAGGAAAGATACGGGTTATCAAAATTCCACTGAATCTTCTTAAAGATTTTTCGAAATCAGACCGTTCAAAAGTTGATGGAAGGGCTCAGGGGAAAAGGTTGTGGTAGTGATGGTAATCGTCCAAGCGCAAAAGCTCGTTTCACGCGATTTCTAGAAGGTGGATAATACCGAAAGAAAGAAAGAAAGAGAGAACGGGGTTAAAAGATCGTAGTAGAAGTGTAGGATAATTTCAACTCTTCTTTGAATATTTCAAGTCTTGAATAGAAATCAGACCAATGAATTTTCCTTCCTTGGGCAAAGATTAGTGTCATGTCAACGATGAATACTTCATACTGAACTTTACATACAACCAATCCACTATAATCGTAATTATCTTTTGCAATGTAATTATTTCTTCTTCACTCGAGAAGAAAACATTTTTAATTCATAATCGAATTAGTAAATTTTAACAATTTGTTTATTAAATTAATAGGAAAAAAAAAACATCGTAAAATTTACGTGAAAAATTGTCAAGTAGAAAGTGCAATCAAGTTTGATGTTTAATTATTTTTCGTAGTTATAAACATTTTTTATATATATATAGTATATTTTTTTCAAAAAGCATGAATTAATCCAATATATATTGGAAAATTGTAATATTTAAGTAATATAAATTATAAATTTGTTTAATAATCCTTTTCTCGCAGACAGGACACATCATATTCCTGTGTCAACAACCAAACGAGTTTCCCTTATATATTTTACACAATTTCATCTAACCAAAACCAATTTTGAAATTAAATTATTTCTCACAACTTTGATCTGTTTGGATAGCATACTAAAAAAAAAAAAAAAAGATGAAGAAAAAAAAGGAGGGTTTTCTCGTCAATGAACGTAACACGCCGGAGAAGTGTATTTATTCACATATATATATATATATATACACTCGAGTATAAATGTATGTGTTTTATGTGTATATGAAGAGTCCTCTCATCTCAAAAGCTTTCTACGAAGATGTTAATTTATATTTTCCTCGTTTGAGAGATAGAAAGTAAAAGATAGTTAAAGAAAAAAAAAAATAAAAGATAAAAAAAAAATTAAAAAAAGAGAAAGAAGAGTTCAGAGTTCAAAGAGAGAGAGAGAGAGATAGATAGAGAGATGTTGAAGGACAGGATGAGAAGAGGTTTGGTAGCATTCGCAAGCTACTCGAAAGCTTCCTCCTTCACGGATTGCTACTTCTTTCTTCAAAACTTGATCGTTCGTTGGTTCGTTAGAATATTCATAAATACGCGTTAACTTAGCCACTTTCCTTCCGTCTTTCGTTCGTTCCTTCCTTCCTTCCTTCCATCAAAAAGTTTTTCTTAACAAAAACTTCTGGGCCATTCCTTAAGAAGAGAAGAAGGAACGTTTTCATGAGTACAGGGGTTATCCAGCTATTAAAATTCTTTCGAATATATATTTCCATCAACGTTGAAAGATTTTCACAACCTTAAAGGAAACTATAACGATATACTTTATCTTTTTCTGTTCTTTGAAATAAAAAGTTCTTTATAATTAGTAACACCTTCTTTTTTTTTTTTTTTTACGATAAGCTTGTTAGAAAGGAAAAGGGTTCTAACATCATTTTTTATGATTCACGAGTCTCGTAAAGTAATATAATAAATAAGATGATAATATAATTTCGGAAATTAATTGTCAATAATTTTAATGCTATCATTTGAAATAATATTTCAATAATTGTATATACATTTATAAATATTTAAAATAATATTATTAATAACACGATATTATTAACATGTTTTTAAAAAATAATAAAACCTAAAATATCCTATCATTTCTAAAATAATTATATTAACACTTAGCCGACCGATCGGGGTTTCTCGATTCATTGAACTTCGTTTCAATGTAAGTCGATGCTAGACAAGATCGAGAAAATCTCCTATATTGACTTTAACAACGGGTTTCTTTTTATTCTATTATTTATCTACATTGTTGTCTTAATTTATTGGTATTAAAATTATAAATCTAATGTCGTTAATATTAATAATATTCACGTCACTTATATGAAACCTGCGTGTTGAAAGCCCTACAGTTCGCTGCTTCACACGTAGTTGGCTAAGTATTAAATATATTAAAATAACTTCTTATTAATTTTTAAGTGATTTAATTTATAATAAATAAGACATATTACATATATACTATTATTACATAATTTTTGTTTAAAAAAAAAAACTTGTTCAAATCATAGACAAAATTTAATATACATATTTCAAAAACATGCACTTCGAATCCTAAATATATTCAAATAATAGAGAAAGAAAATTGAGATATACTTATACATATATGTGTAGTGTGCGTGTAAGTGTGTACAGTCACGCATGTGGTAAGTCTAGGCACGCAGCGCGTGGGTAGTTTCTTTATTTCAAAGTGAATGACGTGACGAATCCAAGGAAGAAGCTCGTAAACCGGGGAACTTTACTACCCCTTGAGTTTTAAGGTCGGCACGTAAAGGTTACTTGAATCTCAGTTCGATCTAGAACCTCCAGGAGAGTACCTACCACTATCCTCCAGTTTTTCATTTTAACAGCTTTACCGTAAACACTTTGATAAGTTGTTTAATGATCAAACCCTTTCCATTCCTTCATTTCATTTTATTTTAAATTTGTTTTGTCTCGTCATATAGAAAAATTATTTTTACATTAATTTGAATTATAGTTTATATCGTACTAAATATTTTAACATAATCAAAAGAAGGAAATATCTTCTATCTTTTATCTTTTATCTTTTCCTTTTACGTTTCATAGCTCAAACCAAAAACGAATAATTCGAGTCAAGTTCATATATAAACAAGTTGTAAGGATAGAAGATAAACTAAAATCGGATGGTAAAAAGTGAAAGAGTGAAATAAGGGTGAGAGGTGGAAAGGTGGGGAGGAGGGGTAGTAGTATATAACGGGTTAGATTCAATGGCGTGCAAGAGATAAACCGTCGAAATACTCACGTAGAAACTTACTACGAAACGACGTCTCTTGTTTTTATCCTAGCTCGTTTTGCACAACCCCATTCGTTTCTTTCTCATTCTAGGTACACTACGTCTAGTTTTTTTGAAAGGTTTACTCCATTTTACACCGTTTTATTTTCATTCAACAAATGGCCTATCTTTAAATACAACGAACTGGAATTTTTTTCTCTTTTAGGCTTTATGAAGTTATTTATAAAAATAGAAATACCAAAATCTGTTTTTTAATAAACACATTTGGATTTTTTATTAAAAAAATTTATTTATTGATAGAAGTATCTTTTTTATTACTAATTTTGTCTAAATATAATAATATAATAATATATATAAATATGTTAAATATAATAATAAATGTAAAGTATTACATTTTGATTTATTTTGTTTCATCGTTCATTTTTATTTTTTATTCAATATTTTATTAATAATATTTTGCAAAATAATGTAACTTTGTAAAATTTAAAAAATCAACGAATCATTTTGTAATTAATTTTTAATTACAATTTGATATTTGAATGATGATTTACACGAAATATAAAAATAACAAGTAGTAATGGTCAATGTTAAATCGGACAAAATAAATAATATTTCATAAAATATCATAATTTTTTTAAATTTATAATTATCAAATCATCTGTAATTAATTACTAATTACAATTTGATATTTGAATAATAATTTACACTAAATATAAAAATAACAAGTAGTAATGGTCATTGTTAAATCAAACAACAAAAAGAAAATAAATTTCTTTTCATTTCTAATTTCAGGGCAAGATGTCAATGACAGGAAGCTTGATGGGTTACGAGAACAATAACGAAGTGAATCAAGCGAAATGCAAGAAACCGTTGAAACCACTTCCGGTGATGTCGAGTATAAATGCAAGTGGTGTAACTACGACGAGTACAGGAAAGTCGTCAAAGAAAGTTCGGATTTCGCGTAAAAAGGAATCAACGTTTCGAGGTCACGTTAATAGTCTTTGGTCGGTATGGTACGGGATATTGGCAGTTGCATTTCAAACTTTTATCGCTTTGAGATACGCCAGAAGATTTGGCAGTGAGTATACTTATCTTTTTTCCTTTTTTATTTATTTAAAAAAATTATCTTTAGAAACAGGTCATCATTTTTTTTTTACTTTCAACATAATTTAATTCTTTTTCAATACTCAATTATCCTTTTATTTATATTTATTTTATTACTATCAATTCAAAATAAACTGCACGATATAAATTTGATTAACTACATTTTTTTGTATTGTTTTTAACATAATTAACATATATGAAAAAAGTTTTAGAATGAATTATACTGGATGTTCTATCTAATTTAAAAAAGGTCACATTTTTCTTTATTTTTTAATTCACAAATGTAACTTCAACAAAAATACTGAATGACTTGATTAAAACTCATCTTAGAGATAATGAATTTTAATCCAATAGACGTTTGAAAAAACTTTGAAAAGGAAGACAGTTTAAAAAACAAAAAATAAAACTACGTTTTTCTAAAGTTGACAAAATTACAAAGAATCCTTCTATTATTTCTTTTTTTTTTTTTAATTTTTAACATTTTTTCTTTCTCTCTCTGACAGAAGAAAAGTCACGTGTCATGAACAGAATTTCATCTTAACGAGATTTAACGCGAGTTTTTCGTTTAACTTTCGGTCAGAACTATAAGCACACATACACACTCACGTACGTAGAAACGTAGACACACACACAGAAGCATCATCACTGTCGCAATAAAGGAAAGAGCTCTTCAGAATAGAGAAAAAAAAATTTTTTTTTCTTCTTCTTCTCCTTCTTCTTCTTCTTCTTCTTCTTCTTCTTCTTTGCGAATCAACCACGAATCTTTCTCTCTCTTTCTCTCTTAATCTTTCAACCCTAGGTGCACCACCACCACCACCACTACCAACCTAGGTTGCTGCTGGTTTTATAGGATTAAAGGAGAATTTCCGTCTGCTAGAAAAGTTCGCGAACCGATTAAAAGAGAGAACTGGAGGCTTTTTACCCGTTGCCGTTTGTTAACAAGACGACTAACGCTTCTAATAAGTAAATCGAGAACGTGAACGAACCTTTCTCGTCTATGACGAAAAAACGTCGTCGAATTATTTTTTTATTCCAGTTAAAAGTGAATTAAGTTTGTCAAGATAGACAAAAAAAAAATATTTTTCTTCTAATATCATCCCTCACCATTTTATTTTACATTTCTTTTTTATACTTTGTGTTTAAAGCTTTCATCATCATTTTCATGTTTCATCTTTGCTAACTCGTACGAAATGCAAATACTACACTTATTACATATTTAATTGTATTTATTATTTATTTATTATTATTATTTTTATTTATATTTATTTATATTATTATTACTATTTCAATATAAATAATAAACAATGAATTAATAAAATAACGAGCTTCCATCATCATTTTCATGTTTCATTTCTGCTTACTCGTATTAAATGCAAATATGCAAATACTACACTTATTGCATATTTAATTGTATTTATTTTTTTATTTAATATTATACTTATTTATATTATTATTTTTATTTTTATTAATTTATATTATATTATTTACTATTTCAATATAAATAATAAAAGATAAATTATTAAAATAACAAGCTTTCATTATCAATTTCATGTTTCATTGCTGCTAACTCGTACTAAATGCAAATACTACACTTATTACATATTTAACTGTATTTATTATTTATTTAATATTATTATTATTTAAAGTAATTCAATGTTAAACAACGAATTAATAAAATAACGATAACGAATTAATTTGGTTTAGAACAAAAACAAAATACAACAAAAATATCTTAATTATTAAATATAAATAAATAATATTGAAAAAATAATATACAATAACAATAAAATAATATATAATAAATGCCTTAAATAATAAAATAACGATAAACAAATTATTTTGGTTTAGAAAAAATACAAATGCGCAAAAATGTCTACTTAATAAGACGAATAAGATTTAGAACAAATTGAAGAAACTAATTTACTGTATGTTGTATTTTTTTATTTAATTTTTTTTTTTTATTTCTTTTTCTTTCAGCATATCTCTCGTTACCATGGCCGGCGGATGCACCACCACCTAAAATCGAGTTGCACGCGTGTTTGGTATTAGCCGGTGCTGGAGTTGTTTTACTTCCGGTTTTACTTCTGGCTGCTGTTCTCAAACTTGGAAATCTCGCCAACGATGGAATTAAACTAGGCCGTCATTTGAGCGCATGTTCGCGTGATCCTCCTTCTTCCTTACTCACCAACAATCCTGACAACAGTGAGTAATCTTTTGTTTCTTACCCCCCCCCCCCAAAAAAAGAACAAAAAAAAAAGAAGAAGAAACAACGTCTTGTATAAAACAAATTCTCCGATTACATTTACGAACAAGACACGATTGTTTTCTAATTTGGCTTAGTAATTTTTTGTACAATTTATTTTAGTTATTTGTTTTTGTATTCTTTCATGTCTCAGGCTTGGCAAATAATTTATGGAGACACGGAGGACCAACGTCTGCGTTTGTACATCTATGTATGGCTATGTGCTTCCTTCTGCCGTCTCTGCTCATGGAGGCGAGGATGATACACGCTGGATTTTTGCCAAAAGGTAATAAGCCCTTCGTTGCATGCCTACTATTACTACTACTACTACTACTACTACTACAACTTGTTTCACTCAACGACCTCTCTCATGTTCTTTTTTTTTCTTTCCATCTTTCGTCGTTCTCGTCTTCGTCGTCTTTCTGTTAAATAAACGCGATAACTTAACCACTTTTTTCTCACGTCTTCCGTTACATTTACAAAACTTGAAAACTAAATTCTTCTTCTAAATTTTTTTTCCTCGAATAGTTTTAAGATAATTACTTTAAATGTTAATAATGTAGGTGTACATTAAAAATTCAAATGGTTTGAAATGTTATTTTGTTCTAATATTAAATCTAATTAAATTTATTTATAATATTTAATCATGATTGTTAAACAATTTCAAATTTTTGATTATTAAAATGCGATTATTAAAAGGGTTTATTAAAATATGAGGAAACTACGTGGTTATTTTTCTTCGTTTAATTCCACGCAAGTGGTAAAAGCACGAATTTAGTCGGACAAGTCTTTCCTGTAAAATCGTTGACTCGAACTACTTAAATCACAATCAATCTACATTTTTATATACAATTCAACCTAATGTCTTCATTTTTCTTCTTGTTTTTATAAAATAGAACGTAACTATACGATGTAAATTGTAAATTAATAATGTACGAGTAACTTAGTCAATTTTATTACATAATTATTATCATAAGAAACTTCTTATCTTCTAATCTTCATACTGATTAAATTTAATCAGGTAAGAAAATTTGATATTAAGGGGAATATTCTTCTCGTCTATGTAATTTCGTCTAACAACGGCACATATATTTAAATGCATGCGTATAAATGTGTTTGTTCTTACAAACACACACGTATATTGTTATACAAGCCTAATCGTTATTGTGTATATCGTTCATAAATGTATTTCTCAATGGGGTGGCGTAAGTAAACTCGATAAGTTCCGTAGTCACCGAGAGTCGCGAGAAAATTTAATAAAGTCTCTTCTCTCATCCCTTTCCCAACCTTTCTTCCACCACCACTCCCACCCCCTTTTTCACCACAGTCAAGCTTCTCTACGACACAATGTCGGCGTCTTGGAAAAGACGATGACGTATCTTGAGATTTAACTCGAATTATTTTCCAACTAAAAATATATTTTTTTTTTTAACTCAACGTTGGTTCTCCTAGTTTTTTTTTTTTTTTGAATTAATTTCCTATGCATAAAAATACATAAGTTTCAAATAATAAAATTAATTATTAATATTTTATTTGTCAATTGTAAGTAAGGAGAATATTTAAATGTCGAGAAATGGTAGGAAATTTTGATAACTAATTTTTTTATTGGACTAAAATAACAAATAAAAATTATTTTATAAAATACATTTTATTTTTATTATATATAGGATGAAAGAAAACAAAAACAAACGTAAAATATTAAGTAATATACTATTTTTTATAAATAAGTATAATATTAAATAATAAATAATAAATTAATTAAAGTACTTTAAAAAGTATTTTAGTAAAAGTACTTTTAAAAAGTAACTTTATCTTATTTATTATTATTTTATAAAATTTATAATTATTTAATAATTTAAAGTACTTTAAAAAGTATTTTAGTAAAGTACTTTAATTTATTTATTATTTTTTTATAAATTTTATAATAATTTAATAGATTATGATTTTATAAATTTTATTATAATTTAATAAATTATTAATTATTATTATATGAATTTTCAAATTATTTAATAAATAAAAGTACTTTTAATAAATAAGTATTAAAATATAATAAATAATAAATAAATTATAAATTGAAATAATATTGAATAATATTTTTAAAATTAATTCGACATTTGTTTTATTCTTTTTTTCAAAATTTATTAACGACTGTTATCGGGATAAATCTTATCAATCGAATAAGGGAAATCTTGACAGAAAGAAATCGAACGATAACGAAATTAGTTTCGTTTCTTCTCTGGTCAAAGTTAAACGAATTAAGATTGAGTGACTTTGAGAGACTACAGGAAGCAAGGAAAATTAAGGGATTCGTTTCACACGATCAACTTCGAGGATTTAATTATTGATTGTGACTTAAACGAACACTCTTGAAAATAATCTAATATAATATCAATTATCTTTCTTAACAGATTATTCTATCTGAGAAAACCAGAGAGATTTTTTTTTTTATCTAAAAGAAATAAAAAACCATATCAATTAATTCAAGTAAAAAATGTCATAAAAAGAAGTTAAATTAACAAACAAATAAAAACACACACATACAGACACATAAATAAAGGATAGTAATCAAGAATAGATTAACCTAATTTTCTCTTATTTCCAAAGTAAAATTAGATTTACAAATTAAGTTATACCCTAGAATTTTAATCCAACCTAACTGAAAATACTAAACCTACCAAAAATATATATCTGTTTATTATTATCAAGATAAAATGGTCGAATATTTTTTCGTCTAAATGATTATTAAATAATTATAAGTTTCTCCGAATAAGAAAATAAAAAAAAAAAAAATAATGAAAATTTGAAATGAAGTTCGCGAGATGTTGTAGTCTGTCTAATTTAGATAGAGGGTGCTTATCATACTTTAACACGAATCGTCCATTAATATAAATCTTACAAGATAATAACAATGTGGAATGATGTGGTCAAGCACCGACAAATCATTATGGCGTGTACCATGCTCATAAATTAGTTTCACTCTTGACGATTCTCCCTGTCCGTGTGGTTTTATTTTTTCTTTTTTTTTTTTTTTGTACGCGAGAAGAAATAGGGGAATACTTTAATTATTTGAATAGACTGTTGGTCGACACCCTCGTTATACACCACCACCAATCATTTACCTCCCACACCATCTCGATTCACCCTATTGTAAATGGAACAACACGGGTAGCTTAACTTTCACTATACCTAACACGATTCGTTTCTTGTACACCCACTATCGCAACTTGCCAACTGTTATCTGTTCTTCGTATTCGATATATCATAACTTAATTATTATGCTTGAAATTTTCAAACTGTCCTCCCCTCTCTTTTCACCCTTTTTCTTTACTGTGATAGTTGCTAATACTTTCAACGATAAAAAACAAACACCACAACTTCATTCTAGTTTGTTTTAATTAATATTGTAAATGTTATTAAGTTATAAACATTGAGTTATTATACCAAAATGATCATTTCTATTAATGCAAATTAAATTTAATTAATTAGGTTTAATTGTAATCCTTTCCCTTATTTGTCAATACTTTCAATTAACGAGAAATAGTTTTTTTATTTTTAATGATGCAAGTATTGCAAATTAAATTAACGAATTGAGTTAATAAGTTGTAAATTAATCCAATAATTTGTACAATACTTTCTGCTATTTATTTTTTTTTTTTTTTACTTAAACAATATATATTTTTTTATTCGTGCTAAATTTAACAATTTGTTAATTAAATTTAACAAATTGTTATTAATACTTGTCTATCTTTTATTTCGATTTGTTTAATATTTTATTTGAAGCAATTTTATTATTGTCAAATGATACTAAACGATTTCTCATATTTAAATTTCGACGTATTATCTTCAAATTGAGTAAAAGAGAGAGAGAGAGAGAGAGAGAGAGAGAGAAATGAGAGAAGGAACTATGGGTAGCTAAAGTGCTCAGAATGTTACGGTAGGACTCGCAAATATCATTTGCTGCGCGCATTAAGCTCGTTCATAATTACGACAAAGTGACGTATGTAAGCTCGAATGGGATAGAAGTACATCTTTGTATATGTATGCATGAGCATATATATATATTCATGTATATACACATATATATATATATACATAGAAGACTTTCGTAACGAGTGTACAACGCAGTGGGAAAGAGTCTGACGAGAAGCAACAAATTGTTAGTCCTTTAAAACGTTGGAATGGGAAAAATTATGACGACTTAAATATGTTTCTACTTAATTATTCTCGTAGACAAAGCCATTTGCTCGGTTAGTTGATTTCAATTCATAAATTGTCCTGATTCATTATTCAGACGTTTATGAACAAAAAAAAATGTCATTTAAAATGGGGCTTATTTATTAAGATTATTATTAAAGGAAGCTTTATTTAAATCTGCTGTACTTTGGTGACCAAAAATTATTTGTCGGTTGTTCAAAAAATATAATATTCGTAATTTTAATCACCAGATGATGATATTTCGTTTGAAATAAAATTGTTTCAGATATTACAATTATTTGATTTCGAAATATTTCAGTATTCATATTGTATTTTTTAATTTTAATGTTGACAATGTTATAAATGTAATTTACAATGTTTTTCTTTACAACAACAACACTCTTTTGAAATTTTTTTCAATTTAATTTTTTCTATTTTTTATAGCACCATCTACGACGTAATAAAAAAAAAGTATTTCATAAACGAAAATACTCTTTAAGCTTTTATCAACTAGAAAATTACTTCTTTTTTTCCCCTCCTTGGTGGTATATATATATATAGTTTATCAGAAAAAAATATCAAACCTTTAAGATCTCTCATGCTTCTCACCTCGTCTCGTAAAAAAAGGATTTTCTGAAACGAAAGCTCGTAGAAGTTTCGCGTCTTTATAGTCCTCAAAAGGAGCTTTAACAACACTTTTCACTCTCACAATAATATGAAGTCAGGATATTTTTTTTTTTTTTTTTACTTTTGTGTACATTGCATATAAAATATCTTACGATTTGAGTTTTCTTTTTATTCTTTAACATTGAATCTCAGCTTTTATTATTATTCTGTAACGATATTGTTATTTTAACCAAACATCAAAGCAAGCATGAAAAAAATAATGCTTTTCTTTCTCAAGACCAATTTTATGTAATCTTTATCGACCACACACTCTCATAACTATACTTATCGTTCTTATGGCAAATTGGAAAAGATATTTATCATGAAATTCGAAGGGTAAAGAAAGGAAGGGATCTAGCAAGTCATGCGTGTGAGCATCTTTTGGGGTTCGAAATTTGATAAGAAATAAATCGTGAAGGGCTATCC